TGTATCTATATAACCAACATATTATTAGTAATGAAGTTACAAGAGAGTTAACAGAAAGAACAAAAATATAATTATTACATGATTAATATATATTCAAAGTATATTTATTATATACGATTTTAGATCATATAATAATAATATTGCTGATATATAATAAATATATTGTAAACATATTTAGCAAAAAACATAGGTTTCTGTAAAGATATAATCCATATTAAAATTTGATGCTTAAAAAGGTGTAAATTTTAATATAAACTTCACGGAATCCAGTCCAGATTTGTATAAATATATTTCATTTACTCTGTTTCTGAGATAATTGCTTCTAAATATAAAAAATTGTTTTATTATTTATTCATCATTATTCAAACTACCACAGCTAGATTGAATTCACATAATCAGTCTATTGTATCTATAACAACATTACATGTATTACAACCAGTGTTGGTCAATTAGTGGTCGATTATAAATTTGCTTGTCATTGGTCAAAGGGTTTTTGGTCAAACTGGTCTGGTCAAATTGGTTAAATGGTCAATCAAGCGAATTTGATTATAGTCAAATGGTCTGATTGGTCGATTTGTTCATATAACTAGACCATTTGACCAACTTGACCAATGTCAAAGATGCTTGACTGGACTGGTCATTGGTCAAATTGGTCTGGTCAGCCCAACACTGATTACAACTATTTTAGTAATTACAACAATAACACCTATTATGGCAAAACGTTACAACTCCAGGTTGCAACTTACACCTTGCCAACCTATTATGGCAGGCGAATTTAAATGAAATCACAGCTGTCCACTAATTGAAAATTATTTTGGGCCAATTTTACTACTGTGCGGACCTCTTTCCAAAATTTTCCGTTTTTTGGGGTCCGCTAAAGTGAGGTAAATTCAATATAAGGATCTACATGCTGCATAATTGTGTTTTTGATATCTATATAGAAACACCCCATTTTAGCAATCCCCTATTTTTAGAATGAAAAAAAATTAAAAAGCTAATTCTGGCCGGAAATTACGTAAGAATTATGCAATGCGGGCCAAAATTTTGTAGATCATGACCATTAGCCAATCAAACTTGAGGATTTCCGTGACAATTTTGATGCAGTTAATAATCAAAATTCGAAATCTGATTATGTTTAATTCAGAAAATTGATCTTACTAATTCTAACAAACAGTTCGTATTGTTTTCCCTGTTCTTCCTTGCTTTCTCGAAGATCAGTCTCAGTAAAATTATCGAGTTAAAATTTTTATTATTAACTTTCTATTAGAGCATCCTCACTACGTGATTTTCTATAATATTCAAACCATAACTCGGAATGTCTCGTGCACGTACTTCAGAAATTTGGTGGGCAAGAATTTTAGATAGAGTTGACGAATTTTTACATAATTATCCTAAATTACCAAAAAAACCGTTAGCGGAAAGCAGGTAGTATACGTGTTGCATTAACTTTTACCTAAAGTACAAGCTAATGTGAATTCTGTATAAAGTTTGCCTTTAAAAATTGGCTCAAACATAACGATCAAAGATTATAATACTTTTCTTAACAATCACGGGTCATCGGGATTCAAATTCCAATTTGAGTTAAATAGCGACAATAAAACTGGCAACGTATATATAATTGGTATGACTTCAACTGTACACGAGAATGTTGTTGCCCGGCTTCAAGACTTTTTCAAGGTTCCGAACGGTGGAGTTGTTGACGACCCTCCCATAAATGTTTCTGGACAACCTCGTAAGAAAATCTATTCTAGTTTCTTTGTGTTATTGAATTTTAATGCTCTTATAACCTTTTCATATAGTTCACTACAATCCTGATAAAAATGAGGTTCAAATAGCTCCTGATGTTTATCCAGATATTGCATTTGTTCCAAGGCCTGCTTTTTCTACCGTAATGCCCCCCTCCTCCCGGTGATGTAAATGTACGTTAAGTTTTTTATTATATTTTTGTATTATTTATAAATAATTTTATTTATTATGATTATATAGGGAAATCCACATGTGCGGATAATATGTGAAGTAGCAGTAGGCCAAAATATTGGTTATTTAAACCAAAAGTGCTTGACTTGGATGCACGAACAATACGTTCGTGCGATTGTTAGTATTAAGATTTTAAAAACAAAACTGGGGATTCGAGAACCTACCACTGGTTATTTTTATAGAAAAATGACGGTATATTATTTAATGTTGGCAAGTCAAGCATTGCATCTTTTGATATTTAATTGATCTATCTGTTTTTTTTTTTGAATGTTAGGCGAAACTTAATCGTCAAGGAATGGCAACACAAAGATGGGATTTTGGAAATGTTAAAAAAAATTCAAGAGATCCTATCCATGATCCTGCTCCCTGCAATGCACCAAACTTGACACAGTTTCAAATAAATATTCCCGTAGGTGAAGTATTTTGGGACCCACCATTTCCCATCCCACCCGGATATGCACCAACAATCCCTCCTGTTATTGCAGTCCACAATTTCACTATTGACTTGTATCGGCTACAACGAGTAGCTTTAAAAGCTGAAATGTGAATAAAATTAATTTGAAAATTTAAAAACTGAATTTCATGGCCAATATACAATATACAGTGAAACCTCCATAAGTAGTGTTGGCGGTAGAATTACTGAATTACGGCATTACGGCATTCTACCACATGGTAGAATTAATTACGGCATGGAGTCTAATTGCCGTAATTATTATATGCCGTAATGCCGTAATATCATAATGCTATAGATCTTTGTATTGTAACAATGCGATATTGTAATACTATAACATTATGATAATATATAATAAGATAGCTGCGCAGCATGTGACGCTAGGGTGTTACCTCTAGGGTTCCAAACCGGTTTGAAATGTTAGACCCGTGACCCGTCGGGTCAAGACTAGCAACCAACCGGGTATCCGAATTGAAATCGGGTGACCCGGTTACCCGATTACCCGTATGTAATTCGGGTGACCCGGGTTACCCGAATGTAATTCGGGTGACCCGGTTACCCGATTACCCGTATCTGGTATGTAATTCGGGTGACTCGGTTACTCGTATGTAATCCGGGTGACCCGATTACTACAGGTAGGACCGTCCCAAATAAAGAAATGATGATCCCGATCATGCATGTTTAGTTTAGCCAATCAAAATTGTAAATGATAATCCATAATCGTATGATAAGCATCACGTGTTGATTAGCCAATAAAATTGTAAATTTTTATAAAATTAAAAGAAATGAAAATTTATAATTAAAGTTCAAAATAAATGCTGCTAAATATTACTATTAGATAAGCAAGCATGTATTTATTAATGTAAATCAAGATTATTAATGTTTTAATAGTATTTGTTTTTATTTTTATTTTTTTTTTTTAAGGTAACCTCTATGGCTGGGGGCTTTTTTTAGATAATTAACAACATTTACAATTATGATGAGGGTATAACTAACCACATATACAACTTTTGGTTATCTATTTAAGTAGTCCGCGCAAGTTCTACACTAGCCATCATACCTGCAATCTAACTAGGAGATTACCTATTTAAGCTCTTTGGCTTTTACAAGTGAGAGTACAACTAGCCATACTTGCAACTTTTGGTTGTCTATTTAAGTAGTCTGCCCAAGGTGCCACACTAGCTGCTATACCTGCAACCCAACTAAAGGATTATCTATTTAAACTCTCTGGTCACAACTGACCTGTTATTTTCTACCTAAGCAGAGTGTAATTCACTATTCATATGCTAGATTTTGTGACACTATAGATTTCACACCCTACTTAGGACTACTTTATCCTCAAGGTAAAGCTAACAGAGTAGTACATGTCTCACACATTTATTCACCTACATGTTTGGTGACTTCTTCCTAATCTAGTACCTGTTGTGTTGCCGCTACTGAGTTCATATCTCAAGCTATTTTTTAGGATACTGCTGTAACCCAATCCGTATCTCAAACCATAACCTTCCTATTTTAGTAGTTGTTACATACTTCTGCCCTTGTATTTGGGTTCACACAACCACAGCACCCACATTCGAACTTTTCTTCTTTTTCAGATTCTTTATCGATCTCTCCCTTACTTCCAGACGGCAACCCGGAAGGGTTGGTTTACATAGACTTTAGGTATCTATATAGTCATCCTTTCCTTGGTACCTGCTTTTAGAGCACATATCCTTTTCCTCCAGTTTTGGTGACCTGGCAGTTCAGCTTGTATGTTCCCCCCACTTAAGGATCTGGTCACTTGGTTCTCTGATCTCAGTCCCCAGTTTCAAATTCAGTTCTTCTGTAGTACTGTCAAAAATCATGCTACAGTACCTCCCAACTTGGTATTTGCCAAATGGGTTTTCAGTTTTTCCTGTATCTCAGATTTATTACGCCAAGGCTCCTTATTCTAGATGGTGTGATCAAGATTACAGATTTCTAGATTCTACCAATCATCGAATAGCCGTTAACCATATCACAGGACTATTTTTTGAAAATGTAATCTGTGGGATTCGAACTCTAGACCTGCCATCTGGAGGTGCAACAACTCCACCACTTTACTAAATTACCACGCCCAAATTTAATAAAAATCCTAGATCTGTCCTAATGCTATTAATAAATTTGTTATTAAAACCTGCAAGAAAATAGCAAAATGAATCTAGTTTTTTTTTATTTTTTTTATTAGTTATATGGCTTTTAGCTTGCAAATTTGTTCTAAAAACCAATTAATCAAGAAAACTTCTTAATAATAGTTCAGCATTCTCAAGCATTTTTTTGAACTTATTAAAATCAAAAATTGGTCTTTTGTTATATATACACTACTTTGTATATAGCACCTTACTATTAACTTAATCTTCTTACTCAGAGGAATGAGCTCTAAAAAAATATATATAAAAAATAATTAAATAAATACGCCTCATGATGCTTTTTATTAAAAAAGTCAATATATATATATTACAAATAAAAGTTATTTATCTTATCTAATTTTGCTTTATTAAGTTGTGATCATACCTTATAGTATACAGATTCTTATTCCTAAAATTTAAATTTTGAGTAAATAACATTACCATGTAAAACATATAACCTATCTTGAAATTGTTTTATGCTTTTGGCTGAAATTCTTTTTTTAGAAAGATAGTTAGGTGAATTAATGTAATCTGGATCAATATCTGTTTTATACAAGCAATGATTACACATCATTGCTTCCTTTGGCAAATTAAAAAATCTATTTAATTGTTTTGGTGTCTACCCAAACCCTTTCTTAACTTTTTGAGCTGTAGCTATATAAATTTTATGTTTGGGTTGAGAGTATAAATTAGTTTATAATATACTTGTTATAATGTTTTTAACACAAAGTCTTGCTAACTAGATCTAAGTGTTGGCTTGATGCTGGTATAGTGGCTTGATCAGTTACGATTGAAGCACCATGAAGATTATAATTGCAGATGACATTATCACAGTTCTTCAAATCACAATAACAAGCTTTTCTTTTTCTTTTTTCGAGTTTGAGCTAACTTCAAAGTTTTGTTCTTGTGCAGACATTTTGTTACAATTTTGATTGCTACGTAAAATGAAGATAATGGATCATTGATTTATATTTAATATTAATTAAACTATACAGTTACATGATTAATTATAAGATTACACAAAACTTTGATTCATTGACCAATAAAAAATTAACAAAGATCATGAAATGATCTACAAGAATAAACCAATTACTACAAAAGCCCGCTATGCTTACTCCAGTAAATTAATTTGAATAATGAATAATATTCAGTACTTGCTTTACATTCTTGGCACATTAAAGTTTATTTAAATTTAAAAACAGTTGCAAATACAATTTTTATTGCTATGTAAAATGAAGATAATGGAGATTTATATTTAATATTAATTAAACTATATAGTTATACAATTAATTATAAAGTTATACAAAACTTTAATTCATTGACCAATAAAAAATTAACAAAAATCACTAAATGATCTACAAGAATAAACCAATCACAACGAAAGCCCACTATGCTTACTTGTGTACATCTATTTACCTAGCAAGATGTTCGATGAAAATCTATGCTGTCTAATGATCCATGCATGATTAACCAATAAAAATCTATCATGGGACTATCTACTAATATTTAATCATAATTACAGGTTAAGTATATACGTATATAATTTAATAGTATATACTGTATAACTTATATTTTTTATTTTTATATAAACCCGTTTAGCAAAGGAAATTACTTAACAAAAACAGATTATGAGTGAAATAAATATAATATATATGTTCTGATAAATGTAAGTGCAGCAAAGAAAAAAGGCTTGTTAGGCTATATTTATGCCATATTAAGATTTTACAATTTATTTTTGAGTATTTGATGTATTTCTAATTTATAATTTATTAACGTAATAACTTTAAGATGAATTTTCTTGAAAACAGATAAAATTTGAAAACTATAACTTGGCCAGGTCATCTTTGAAAAAAATTTTTTATGTAATATTAACTGAGCGTTTAGGTGTCTTTATAATTATAAAAAAAAAAAAAATTATATGAAATTTAAGCTAAAATTTAGATTACCGGGTCTTCAGATCTAAAAGATCTAAACAGTTGTTTTTTTAAATAAGTTTTTTTTTTGTTTTTTATTAAGTATCTCTTTGTCTTTCAATAGAATAATTTGTTCCACGTAATTCAAAACCAGGAATAGGGCAATTATCATACATAGCAATTATTGTTTTTTTTTTTATTCCTGCACTAACAATTGCTTCCAAATCAGCAGTAGTCATTTGATTTCTATCCTCCTGGTCATGCTTATCCCAAACTTTTCGAATTGCACTCACCCAATCTTCAAAAGAAACATTGATGGTTTTCTCAAACTCAGGCTTTTCTACTTTTTGAAGAAATAAAACTTCAGGAGTTGGCATAGAATAGAATTTTTGGCATATAGTGAATATATGCTTGCATGCCATTTCACGAAGTTTATAATCTGGGCATGTACACTCAAGGTGTGCTGGTTTTATATTAATATTTTCTTGCACATTATCTTTAACATTAATTTCATAATTATTATCATTATTTGCTGATGATTTCACATAATAATAACGCCCACCAGATATTGCAAAGCTTTTTATATCTGAACATACAAGTTTTCGATGGCATTGCTCTTTTTGACAGGGTTTCATTCTTCCAATTATCAAATTGACAGCTCTACATTCAAACTCTGTATCTGTTAATACAGCTCTTAAGGTCCAAATTAGAGTGTCAATTCAATGATTTTGCTTGGCACTTAGGTACGTATATTTAAGTTTTTTGTGCCATGATTCAATAAAATTTGTCATATTCATTTCTTGGTGTTCATATAATCTATATACATCAATCTATTTTTCATAGTTACTAAAATATTCTTTTTTCAAATATTTAGCCCATGTTGATTCACCAAGATTAATCTACCAGGAAAAATAACTATCAAGTTTATTTTGAACTTGTGAAGTATTATGAAGTCGCATTATATCATTAAGCTCATCTAATGTGGCTTTATGTATCACCTGTTTTTTTGACCGTTCGTAAACACCATCATAAAAGC